TAATGGTAATATTTTTTTTGGCCAACAAATTTTGTTTTTGTCAAATTTTCGTTAAAAATAATTAATTAACGAATTATTAAGTATGACATTATGTTATTAATAATTATTTATGACATTAATTATTTATTAAGTTAATTATTTGTCATATTTAAAATAAAATAAAATATCTAATAAAATCAAATTTTTCAAATGTTTCCGCGCTGCGCTGATGGCTCAGCTCTGGACTTAAGTTCGCTCAACGCCACAGGGAGGGCGAACATCATAACTGTTTCTCGCAGTTGAGGTGCCTTTAGATTGGTATATAAGCAGTGATCGAAAATTTTTTTTTTGTCGAAATTTTTTTCTGCCCGATGTCTCTCCTTTATTGGATTTGAGACAAATTCTTTTTTGGAAGAAATGGTTTCACTAATATTTTGATGACCATTTTTTTATTTTAATTTAAATATTAAAAATAAAATAATAATAATAACTATAAAAAAATAATAAAAATAAATTTTTTTTTAAATTATTGATTTTTTAAATTATTATTAAAATTTTTAATATTGGATATTGGACTTACTAAATTACTAAATAAATAATATTAAAATAATTTTTGCAACATCGTAAACGACGTAGTAAACGACGTAGTAAACGACATCGTAAACGACGTAGTAAACGACATCGTAAACGACGTAGTAAACGACGTAGTAAACGACGTAGTTTGCTATCCCAAATTCCGCTTTCATTTACGACGTCGTTTACTACTTCGTTTACTACGTCGTTTACTACGTCGTTTACTACGTCGCAAACTACTTAGAATACGACGTCGTAAACGAGGTCGGAATTTTCAACAGGGCGTAGAATTAATTTTTTCCCCTGTAAGTGTCTGTAAAGGCTGAGAAGTCAACGGCAAATTTTCTTTTTGGTCATTTTGTATTTCAAGATTTTTTGTAACAGAATTTTCATCGATGAAAGTAGAATTAGTTAAGGAAACATTGACCAGTTGTTGGCGTTTATCGTGAAGAAAATATGGTAGTGTATTTATGGAATCTGTAGCACTCATTGTTTTTTGTGTTTCTCACATTTTATATGACTAGTTAACCCCTTGACTGTAAGGTACGTCTATAGACGTACTTTTCAAAGTGGGCCCTCACTGTTAGATACGTCTATACACGTACTTACAAAAAACTTTTAAAAAACAAAAGTTAGTAGATATACATCACACTGACGTTATATAACGTATTTTGTACGCTGAATCTAAATTTGGCGTAAAGGAAAATGAAAAATCATTAGAATTTACTTAAAACTTGTTACTCAAAGGTTTTCGGAGTCACTGAATTCGAATATTAATATTGAATTTACCAAAATTCAAAATGGTTGGTCCAATATGAAGAGCTACTTATTAACCATCATTTGATTTTATAAGACCGAGAAACAATATGTTTTTGTCATCTAAGCGCTCGTCTTTTGTTTCTATATTTTACATCAATCCACTTTTCCATAAAATAGTTTCATTATCATAAACTACACTTTTGTAAATTTTAAAAACTAATATATATTTAAAATTCATTGAAAGTTATTTGTTTTGATTGGACAGAGAAACAGAATTTAGAAAAATATGTTCGCCATATTGGATCCCCCATTTTGAATTTTGAAAAACTAATATCAGATTCGTAATCAGCGACCTTGAAAACCTACGAGTAATTTGTTTCGAGCAAAAATCCCCGGATTCTGAAGAACATGTCTGCCATATTGGATCCGCCATTTTGAATAACTAACATCAGATTCGTAATCAGCGACCCCAAAAACCATAGTTCACACAGTTTCAAAAATTTTGGTAGTAAAAAATTTTCTTAACATTTTGGACCCACATTTAACATTTTGCTCCTCACAGCGAAAGGGTTAAGACTCTTCTTCCAATGTTACTTAAATTAATTATTTTTGGACATTTGGTACATTTTGCTTCAAATATACTATTTTCAGCTTTTGCCAGCTATGGTTTAAACTGTGGATTTATTAGCCACTGAACTTGGAACACAGTTAATTTATCTTGAGTCATATTTAAATAACACTTTAAGCCTATAAAATAATAAAAAAATATTCCTAACCTGTATCTCGCTTACCGATTTAATATGGAGAAAATGCAGTTCATTCATTTAAATAAGTTTAGAAATAATTATACATTATATTAACAACCTGGTCGTAACAAAATTCGAGTATTTCTAATTATAATAAAATTACGCAAACAAAAATTAAATACAAATCATAATAAATTATCAAATTTCTTCACTATAAAGAACTAGTACTATTTTATACTAAGGTTATATGTTGAGAAAGAATATTCATATAAAGACGAAGCTGAAGTACGCAACGTTTATATAAACGATTTTTAAAGAAATAATTTTTTAAAATGAAAAATTCTATAATTTTTTGCCTAAAAAATATTTTTTGTATAATTTGTTCATTAATGAAAACTACAAGAAATATTTTTTAGGCAAAAAATTATAGAATTTTTCATTGTAAAAAATTATTTCTTTAAAAATCGTTTATATAAACGTTGCGTACTTCAGCTTCGTCTTTATATGAATATTCTTTCTCAACATATAACCTTAGTATAAAATAGTACTAGTTCTTTATAGTGAAGAAATTTGATAATTTATTATGATTCATATATAACGGCTCTATCTCATGTTTGTGTTTTTTGCATAATCTGCGTTCACCTTTTTCTTTTTAAACATTTACACCAATAGCAGATAGTTTTTAAGTAAGAAGCAGAGTGTCATTGACTGGAATAATAAATAATGAAATCTGTGAACTAGCGCGCTCACTGTGAAGACTTTTAGAACCAATATTTTCTTCAAAATGTAAGTTATTAAATCAATGCTCCTACCGGTGAAGTTTTTCATATTTTCATTTGACATCACTATTGGGCAGTTGCAGAAGAATGAGTACAACCCCGTGTTTTTCTATCGTATGAAAAGTTGTTTAGATGTGAAAAAATATTTTTTAAAAATTCCTTGATTTCTGACAAGATTCTCTGTCTTTTCCAGACTTTTAAAATTCCCTGTCTATTCCCGGTTGCTCGCCATCCTGAATTTAGTTTTTGTTATTTAATGTGATAATAGGTGGATTCCACGTCAGTTCATCACACTAATTTTTTTTATTAAATGGGATTTGGCTGTACTTTTGTGAATTCATTACTTTAGTAGTGAATAACATCTTCACCAAATATTTTTTCAAAATTTTTAAAAATAACGAAAATATGGCATTTTGAAAATTTTTTCACTTTTTTTTAAAGTAACGTTGGTTCTACTTAACCAATTTTAAATTTTCAAAAAAAAATTCTTTCGCTTGAAGTGTATTTTTGATTAAAATTAACACACAAAAAAAGTGAAAAATAAATTTTTTCTGAAAATTTCAAAAATTAAAAATCCATTTTTGAAAAAACGGCACCTTTAAATTTTTTCAAAATTTTTCTAAATGTTAGGACAAATGTGCTGAACGTGTCCTGTAAGTTTCATTTTGTGATCGCCATGGGTTTTTGAGAAAAAAATTAAAACGTAACCTTATGCAAGATGATAATGTGATAGCAGCGTTAGGGTGCATCGTTAGAAAGCACCTTGCACTTCTAGGGAAGGCGTTGATCAGAAATTTATAACAGCTGGTAGAAGAAGAAATTCTAAAGTAAACATGGAAGGTATCATTGGCCAGGGAGGGGGTTGAAATAGGGTTAAATTAGTACATTGTTTCTTAAACGGAAATTGCAAACACAAAAGTAAGTAAAAGGACAAAATTATACACTGAAAAAATGAATTCGTAATACTGCCATAATCATGAGTAGATCGTCTGTAATATATTGCTGGTATTGTAACTTCCATCGTATTTGTGTTTTAGCCATATGATTGTTTGATGTTTTTGAATCAGTTGTGTCAAACTGGCCACGGAGCACAATGTAATATTGTGAGGCCCACAGTAATAAAATTAGTTTTCTTAAATAAAAGCCACTAATATTCAGTATCCATTTCGTAATCGTTATAAAATTCTGGGTTTAGACTTGTGGTAAAAACACCCAAAATATTGGGCCCAATTCCAGATATTGGTTCCAACATTTTTCTAAATGTTGTTGTCCCAAATATTTGGGATTGGGCCCAATATTTTGGGAACTAGTAACACATGTCTGCACGAAAAATTTCATAGCGATCACAAATTTGATATTTGAAATTAGTAGGTTTCATTTTTTAAAAATTACTTTCTCTACTATGGGCCTCACATTGGGCCGAGGAATCTTACATTGGTATCCGTGCCCAATTTGAATATTAGTTTTCTATCCAAACACTCCGCAAGATGTGATTTTTTAAAATTTATTTATCTCTAGAAAAATGTTGGGCCCAATATTTGGGGCACTTATACCACATTTCTGAACGCAGAATTTCATGGGGATTACGAATTTCATACTGAAAATTTGTGGTCTCATTTAAGAAAACTACTTTGTTCATTGTAGGGCCTAACATTGGGTCCGGAACCCAATAGTGAAGAAAGCAGTATAACGAAAATGCGCATCTCTCTAAATATGAATTAGTCACTATTCACTAATTCAACAGCGCCGATTCATTTATTAAATGAATTATTAACAGTAATGATAAATTTTTAGTCAAAAATGACTAATTAATTAGTAAATCTAATTTTTACGTTATGTTACATGAATGAAAAATAAGTAGATTTATGTATACCAAAATTTTGAGTATAAATTTTTTTACAAATAATTATTTAATATTGACTGTTTAATTAGTTGTTTTCTACTAAAAATTAGTTACTTTTTACTAATTAATATAAGGCCAATACGTTCTCGGTTTTACTGTATTTAATTGAATAGGTATCATTAGGTATTTCTTCCGATTAATCTCTGGCATAAAATTTTATTTTAAGTTATTATATGAATATGAACTTTTGTAAGAATAAATTTACGATTTTAATTTAAAAATTTGCCTATGTATAAATCATAATTTGTAAAATTTTTTCAGGTGGTAAATTTAGTGCTTTAATTGTGAAAATGACACTTCCGCCTTCTACGTACGCGACAATGGCATTGCGTGAAGTTTTGAAACATGACACTTCTACACAATCGCAAGCTGAATTATCTGCAAAATATAATGAAACAGAGAATTTGTTAAATGAATCTGACAGTTAATGGAAGATTAGTTTTTAAAATTCATGTTTATTTGTCAATAAAATATTTGTATGAAAATTTTATACAAAATAAAAATCTGTATTAAATCATTTTTTTATAACTGTACAATATATGTGTTTCTTTATCAAGTTCACATTTCTTTCTTTATAATAATGTATTATTATTTATATAAACTTATTAGCCTATCTAAATAAACATTGTTTCTTATTTAAATGCAAATAAATTTGTTTTAATGAAGTTTAATTGACAATCTACAATATTCTTCATACATATAAATAAAAAAATATGTAAATAAGGGATTTTCATCATCAAAAGCCCCTAAATGCATATTGAATAACAAATAAAATTGGATGTGGTTTCTACATCAGAATTAACTTGGAATAAGAGTTGTTTTCTTTTCTTGGTTACTCCATTAAACAATTTAATATATTTCAGGTAATTAATTTCGAATTGTTCGAATTCTTGAAGACAGTGCTTAACGAAGATTAACTTGAATTTGTTAAAATTATTTTTCTTTTCAATTACAGTATTTTCTTAGCATATACACATTACAAATTTTCATAAGATTGTAATTTTCGACATCTATAAACGAATTCCAGGATTTCTAGATGCAACGAAATTTAAAAGCTCTTCACTATCTTCACAAACGAAAGGTTTCACGTGATGACAGGCCACATCATGCCATTTGAGGCCATCGTTGTAGAAATTATTTAATATTGATAAGCATGATTCATCATTACCCTGTAAAAAAATGTTATTTAAATTTTATATAACAAAAAACATAAGAATTGTATATTTAAAATGTTTATAACTGTCTGATTCTACTTAAAAGTTCATTTATTATTTGTTGCAACAGTAGAAATTGTTTAAAATTAAGTAGCTTGTATTTCTACACAGTGGCGTAGCTGTGGGTGTGCGATCGCACAGGACCTCGCATACTTAAGGACCTCGGGATAAACTGCGGGAGAGAAAAATTTGTGACTTTTAAATTTAGCGTCGAAGGGAGATTTAAAAATAAATTTTTTAATTTAAATATGCAAACATTAATAAATGTTTCTTCAAATACCCCTTTGTAAAAGTTTATTCAAATTTATTTTCAGTAGGAATATCCTATTCATGCCGTGCAGAAATTTTGAACTGGCCATGGCAGAATCCATTTCAGGAAACCCCAAAACTGCATGAAATACTATATCTGGTTGGAGCTACAGAAAAAGCCCTTTTTCAGCCGTTCTTTAATTCATTCAGGTCAGATTGACGAATATCTGCACGAGGCAAATGAATTTTTCACTTTGATATCTCAGTTTATTAGAACAATATCCACCCAGCTGGGTGGATATTGGGTGAATAATGGTTAGACATTGCTTATGTTAAATTAATTAACAATTATTTAATTATTAATAAAAAAAGTGAGATTTGTCAAACCCGTCACTTTAGATATGCACGATAACTATAGCAAATTATGTTTTCATTACGAAAGGCGCACAGTGGGAAAAAAAGACCGAAAATCTGCCGACAACACAAAACATAACCGATTTTAATAATTTTTTTTAAATACTCAAAGAGGTTTTTCCTATATCGTACAACTGTGATAAATTTGATTTATTGCAAACTTAACTTAACCCTCCTGGGTATAAAGCCGAGTATACTCGTCCAAACGGATGTGTTACCGTATGCACAAAGCCGAGTATACTCGTCCAAACATTTTTGACAATAACTTTTGTTTAAATTGACAGAAATATATCAACGAAGTTGCAAACTAAAGCTCAGGATCTACAGGTTATAAAACAATTAACCTGACCTCCGAAAATTAATTATTTATTAGTAAATAATGTTGTTAAAAAATTGAAAAAAATGATAAACATTTGTATCCTTAGATCAGATAGTTTTGTTTAAATTATTGAATTTTTCTAAAAATTGCTATCTTAGGCTAATTTAGAGCAATGACTTTGAAGGTTAAGTGAGTTTCCAACATTTCAAAATGGCAGATCCAATATGGCGGACATTATTTTATTTAAAATGCTCAAATTTGCTTGAAACTTGTTACTCGGGGGTTTTCGGGGTCGCTGATCACGTATTTGATATTAGTTTCTCAAAATTCAAAATGGCGGATCCAATATGGCGGACGAAATTTGAAAAAATTATTTGATTTACACAGAAATGAGTATCTAGGGGTTTTCGGGGTCGCTGATTACGAATCTGATATTAGTTTTTCAAAATTCAAAATGGCGGATCCAATATGGCGGACGAAATTTGAAAAAATTATTTGATTTACACAGAAGTGAGTATCTAGGGATTTTCGGGGTCGCTGGTTACGAATCTGATATTAGTTTTTTAAAATTCAAAATGGCGGACCCAATATGACGGGCAAAATTTGAAAAAATTATTGGATTTACACAGAAGTGAGTATCTAGGGGTTTTCGGGGTCGCTGATTATGAATCTGATATTAGTTTTTCAAAATTCAAAATGGCGGATCCAATATGGCGGACGAAATTTGAAAAAATTATTGGATTTACACAGAAGTGAGTATCTAGGGGTTTTCGGGGTCGCTGATTACGAATCAGAACTTAATTTTTCAAAATTCAAAATGGTGGATCCAAAATTGCAAACAAAATTTTTTAAAAAATTGAATAATTGAAAAATATTTTTCTGACATATTTGATACACCATTTTAAATATTAGTAATGAAATTTTAAATTTTATGTACATGGTTACAAAAACTAAGCTATGAAAACCCCCAAGTAACAAATTTCAGGCCAATTGGATCAATTTTTTAAAAAGTTGTCCGCCATATTGGATCCGCCATTTTGAATTTTGAAAAACTAAGATCAGATTCGTAATCAGCGACCCCGAAAACCCCTAGATACTCATTTTTGTGGACATGGAATAATTTTTTTTTAAATTTCGTTCGCCATATTATGTCCGCCATTTTAAATTTTGAAAAACTAATATCAGATTCGTAATCAGCGACCCCGAAAACCCCTAGATACTCACTTCTGTGTAAATCCGATATTTTTTTCAAATTTCGTTCGCCATATTGAGTCCGCCATTTTGAATTTTGAAAAACTAATATCAGATTCATAATCAGCGACCCCGAAAACCCCTAGATACTCACTTCTGTGTAAATCCAATAATTTTTTCAAATTTTGTCCGCCATATTGGGCCCGCCATTTTGAATTTTAAAAAACTAATATCAGATTCGTAACCAGCGACCCCGGAAACCCCTAGATACTCACTTCTGTGTAAATCAAATAATTTTTTCAAATTTCGTCCGCCATATTGGATCCGCCATTTTGAATTTTGAGAAACTAATATCAAATACGTGATCAGCGACCCCGAAAACCCCCGAGTAACAAGTTTTAAGCGAATTTGAGCATTTAAAAAAAATGGCCGTCATATTGGATCCGCCATTTTGAATTTTGAAAAACTAATATCAGATTCGTAATCAGCGACCCCAAAATCCCCTAGATACCCATTGTTGTAAAAATCCGAATGAAAAAAAAATCTATGCATTTGGAAACCATTTCATGAGGAAAATCTCAAACGCAGGAGGGTTAAAAATGACATTTATATGAGGTAAAATTCGTGTAGCGTACTAAGTGAATTAAAAAATTGATCCGATCCGGCTGTAACTTGTAAATAGTTTAGCCTCAGAGGTAAGTACTTTAACCATGAAGTATTGTTAAGTATTTTTAAAAACTGTAGGAGTGGGAGGGGGTTGAATTTTTTTTAAAATTTAAACACTCAATTTCTGAAGACTTGTAACATTTAAACAGAAAGATGAAAAAAAATTTGACCTATATGTTTTCAAAAGGTTTTTTTCTGCTTTTTCGAATGATGCAAAAATTGTTTGAAAAAATTTAAAATTTGACCATTTTTTTAAAAATCAAAAATATTTTTGACTTTTTTTAAGTTCGGTCTCATTTTTATGTTTTTTAAAAGTTAAAAATGTGTATTTTCATCACAAAAAATATTGAAATATCCTTTTTTGTTATTTTTGAGATATTAATTAATTAATTAATGTTAATAAAAAATGATATATTTTATAAAAAAAATAAAGTTATCGTAATTCTGACGTTACTAAATGAAAGTTTAAAAAAAATTGAAAACAAAAAAATTGTTTATTGTAAAATCAAAGTGTCATCCTTTTTAAATAGAAACAGATTACTTGTTTTTATATGAACCTTTATATTTCAATTACTTTTTGTAAAATTTTTGTAAGACTGATGTCTAAAAGACGTCTTTAGGACGTCCTATGGACATTGCTTTGTTTAGACATTTATAAAATAGTTATTTATGTGGCAAGGGCGTAAAAGTAGGGGAATCGAGACCCGTGCGAGTTTGACGCACGAGCGAAGCGAGTCGAAATTTCCATATTTGCGCCCATGTCCCATACATAATTTTTTATAACATTTTGCATCAAAAACTCAACTAAATTGCTGTGATGGAAGGGAAAAGTATGCGTAAAAGTAAGATTTCCCCTCCTTTTAAGCACTAGTGCGTAAAAGGACAGCGATTTAGTCGAGTTTTTTAAGCAAGGTGTTATAAAAAGTTTATTATAATATCAAAGTGTCTAACTTTTTGAAAAAGAAATATATTATTTGTTTTTAAATAAACCTTTCTATTTTAATTATTTTTCATAAAGGTATCCTTATTTTTTAATTTTCCTAGGATCAAAGTCTCGAAGGCTTTGCTTTGTTGCAATATTTGCCCCGTTTTTCAGTAAAAGTCAATTGTCTTATTTCTTTAAGAAAGAAATGTTCATATTTAAAAGTCCCAATGACGTCTTTAAGATGTTTTAAAGGCGTCTTAAAGACATTGATTTGTTTGAACACAAGACGTTTTCTGGACGTCTTTTGAACAAGTGTGCCCACTGGAAATATTGTCCACAAGGCCGAATTTGCCGAATAAGGGGCCCCAGGCAATGTTGGTGAGGGCCACATGCATGGAAAGGATTTTTCTAAAATTTTACGAAGATTAAAGTTTTAAATAAATTATATATTATTTGTACACTGCCGTCAGAAATTGTCGGTACGAACCACGTGCGGGCAAAGAAAAATTGCTGTTGCAATTTATTTAACATATTTTAATTTAATCTCAATTTAATCTTTACCATCGCCGCAACAATTTTGTAATTGAATTTCTGTCAATAGTGTAACGCCTCAATAATGGAAAGTAAATATTTTAAATTTTTTATCGATATGAAATTTAATGTATTTTTTGATTCTCTTCTGAATGATAGGATACCAACCACGTCGATATAAGGGAGAGTCGGTAGTGGCGAGACACGTTTTGTTTTTTTGTTATAGCACTCACATTTTCAAGAACATCAAGTCTGTATATATATCCATGGACAGGTGTGACTCTATACTGCAAATTTAAGTTATACAGTTACAGAACAGATAATGGAAAAAAAGTTATTGCCGATTTACGATAATGTCTCGCGACTACCGACATAAAAAATCGTCCGTAGTGGCGAGACACTATCTTAAAATCAGAGTCTTCATCGTTCAAACGTCACAAAAACAAAGAAATCAAAGAGAAAGAGTATAATAATTGATGCCTTTAAATCATAATATTGTTTCATTCAATCATAAAAATACAGGCAAATATTTTTCTCATTGTGAGCCGCTAATCCATGTCACAGTTATTAAAAACATATAAGCTTTTCTTCCTGTTCATCTTTTTCAATTTAAACTATAGTTATGAAAAATATTGTCGACAAAACGTACAAAAATTATAT